CCAGGTCGGAGCTGCTCCCCCTCCGGCCCCACTTCCTGGTCCCGGGCCCCGGACCGGCTTTCTCGGGAGGCGTTGGAATTCTCTGGGCAGCGCGATGCGGGCGCTGATGTGGCCTAGCGGCTGGGCAGCTGTGGCCAGGTGTGGGCACGAGCCTGAGCCTGCTCGACCCCAGGGGTCCCAGGGTCACTATCTACTCTGTTGGGCTTCCACGTAGGATTTGATTGGGTTGTGTGTGTGTTTTTTTCCTAAGGATTCTGTGGCTTTAAAAAAAAGTTTGAAAAAAATCTCTTGGCTGGCAGTTTTTACCACCAAGGAAACTGAGGCTCAGAGAGGAAGTGACTTATCTAAGATCACACAGCAAAAGTGAGTCGGGCAGGGACTGGAAGTCACAATTTCAGGGGAGCCTTTCAGTGTCTGTAACAGGACCTGGCTTGGTGGTGGGAGAGGCCGGAAGGAGAGACGGGATCAGGTTTCCCCGGGCAGCCTGGTCCGCACCAGACCCCCAGACCTGGGGGTGGGTTCAGTGTGGGTGCCTTGGAACGGCTGTCGGTTTCCGGAGGTTCCCGGGAAAAGAGAGGACACAGCCAGGAAGAGCACCCACCGCTCTCTCCGGCCACAGCTGAGTCCCATGTGAGAGGGCATCACGGGAGGCTAGAAATACAGCAAGAACTGGGACTCAGGGTGAGTCAGAGTCTGGGATGGGGGTGGGGAGAAGCCCATTCATTCATTGTTCTCAGCGCCTGCTCTTTGGGGAAATGGGGGGTCCGAGCTCCCTCCAGGATGCTGAGGCAGGGCTGTCTGGGGGGGTGTCAGGGCTCTGTGGAAGCCATACCCCCCCTGCCACAGTGGGGAACGTTGGCCCCAGCCAGCACGCCCTTGCTTGGGGATTGTTCGTCGGTGCCTGTTTTCTTTTCCGGGTGCTGCAAGGTAATTAAATAGTTGGTTAATCACCTTTAACGCCAAGCAGCTGCCGCTCGCTCCATCCACGGTCGGCGGGAACTTGGGCTCGAACCAAATGAGCCCAGTCTTAGTGTGGGGGTTCCAGCAGCGGGGCTCACAGCACTGTGGTCAGGGGGTGACTTTGCATGACGCCTGGACCCAGGAGGCAGCTATCGTGGTGGCAAGAGGGGGAGAAGAGGCCTCTTTTTCATCTGTTCCCAGAGCCCCAATGTCCTCTGTTAAATGAGGGGCTTGGGGTCCCTTCACCCCCTGGGGCCGGCAGTCTGGCTGTCCAGCCATTGCTTAGACCAGCTTTCGGGAACTGGGCCGCCCAAGGCCTCCTGGGGCTGTGGCTTCCGAGCCTGTCCCCTGAGAGCCATGTGGACTTTGACCCTCCAGGGTGAGGAGCTGCGTTGTGGATGCCGCCTGCCATCAGCTGTCAGGTTATTTTGGTGTAAACTGAAAATGCTCCAGGAATAGCCCGAGTCCCCCCAGCCTGCGTGGTGGGGCTGCGACCTGGGGAGCAGTGTAGCCGCGGAGGCTGGTGGTGGCTGAGGGCAGCCCCGGAGAAGTGACGGGTTCCCAGGGGTGAGCCTGCCGGCCCAGCTCCCAGGGGAGCGTCATTTTGCCGCCTGTGGAGCTGGGCCATGGGAGTGGCGGGGGCATCCTGGGCCCTGGCGCTGAGATAGGACACCTTCTGCAGCCCCACAGGGGCCTCCCCCAACTCCCCCCACCCCCACCCCAGGGGCTTGGCTTCTGGCGAGTTCGGGGCCCTCTGTGGGGACAGTTATGTGGCCCTGGGCAGAGAGGTCCCGCTGTCTGTTTGCTAAAGGAGGAAAAACAACACGAGGTCTATTGATTCAGCCTCACCTTGGTGCTCCTGGCCCGGCAGCCAGTGTTTGCCCTGGCTGCCCACTCGCTCGCTGGGATTACGAAAGGCTGGTGGGCGTGGAAGGAGCAGGGGGGCTGCTGGGGACCTCCAGGCCCCGGGAGGGGGGACAGGGCTGGGCAGCCCCGGCCGGTCCCCAGGAAACAGTAAGAAGGAGTCTGTGCCCCTGACTTTGATGGTGGCCGAGGGTCTGGGCCGCAGAGGGAGGGGAAGCCATTGGGATCCCTGCGCTCAGCCGGCACCAAGCCCCCCATCCCACCTGGGGTCGCCCACTTTTCTTCCCAGGGGCTGCGCCTCTTTGCAGGTAACTCGGGGGCTGGGGCTGCTTTGCCGAACCAGGAAACCCCCATGAACTTTGTGGATGCCGCCCCTTAAGGAACTTTAAAAAGCCAACATTTTGTTCCTTTATAAAATATACCTGGGTAATTTGGAAAGCAAACGGCGACACAAAGGAGAAAACAGTTCCTCGTCATGCTCACCATCTTGGGAGAGCCATTGTTAGCGTGTTAGCGTGTGTCTGCCCAGCTTTTGTTTTGTGGTTATATATAAACATACATGTATAAATAGTTCTTTAAAGACAAAATGGAATCGCTCGTACGTGCTGCTTTGTAACCCACCCTTTTTACTTTGATTCTGGCGAGCATGTATTTAGTTGCTCTCATTCCGTGTGACTCAAGCCTTGATATTCTTCGTCCCACTTCCGTGTTCTTACGCGGAGAGAGGCTTGGGCGCTGCGTGTGTGGAGGGGTCCATCCGCCTACCTCGCCGCTGACCTTGGGGGCTGGTGTTCACTCCTCTCCCCCAAAGCCCTGTGCGGCCCGCCTGGGGGCCTGCCTGTGTGGGAAGGAGCTTGAGCCCGTGGCTGTGGGGGACTCACCCTCTCTCCCTTTCTTCCCTTGTCCCTCTCAGAGCCTGCGGCCCGCATCCTCCCGCCACAGCCCTGCCCGTCTTGGCCCCATGCCCCCGCCAGTCAGCCCCGGGCCACAGGCAGTGTGTCGGCACGTGGGAGCCGAGGCCCTGTGACCAGGCCGAGGAGGCGAGGGCTCTGTGGTCCCAGTCACCTGTCCCCCCATGGAGCTGAGGCCCTGGTTGCTATGGGTGATAGCAGCAGCGGGACCCTTGGTCCTGCTGGTGGCTGATGCCCATGGCCAGCAGGTCTTCACCAACACCTGGGCTGTGCACATCTCTGGAGGCCCGGCTGTGGCTGACCGCCTGGCACGCAAGCATGGCTTCCTCAACCAGGGCCAGGTAGGTGTTCTTACTGCCTGCCGGCCTGGGCCTCAGGCCTTCGGGGGGTGGGCCGGTGAGGGCAGGGGTTCTGGCACTGGGTGAGAACTAGGGGGCTTGTTTTCTCAGGGGCACGTTCCCAGTGGCCAGGGGATGCGAGCAGTGCTTGCCCTGTCCTGGGGCTTCTAGCCTAGGTTGCTCAGAGGACCAGTGTCCCCCAGGGAGGGGCAGTCCCCCTCGGCCCCCTGCACCTTCTTGCTGCCTCCTGGGCAGGGAGCAGGTGCCCAGCCTCGCCCTGCCATGGTGTGCCTCCCTGGAAGCCCGGTGCCCACCCCCATCCCCCACCTCCCCGGGGACTGGCAGATGGACAGCCCAGCTCCCTCTTCCTGCTCTGTTGCAGATCTTCGGCGACTATTACCACTTCTGGCACCGAGCTGTGACAAAGCGGTCCCTATCGCCTCACCGCCTGCGGCACAGCCGGCTGCAGAGGGAGCCTCAAGTGAGTGCAGCCCCGGCCTCCCCTGCCCCACCCTTTCCTTCCTCCCGCTCCTGCACCCACACTGGCTCCCTCACCCCCTCGCAGGTACAGTGGCTGGAGCAGCAGGTGGCAAAGCGACGGACCAAACGCGACCTGTACCTGGAGCCCACGGACCCCAAGTTTCCCCAGCAGTGGTACCTGGTACGTTGCTTGCTTGGGCCCTGGGTCCCCCTCTCATTCTTCCTCTTTCTGTCTGCTGAGCAGCCTTTCCCTAACCCTCCCTGCTAAGCCTGGGGGTGCCCTCCCAGAGTTCTTTTTTTTTTTTTTTAAGGTAAGCCATACTTTTAAAAAAAAATATGTTTTTATTGATTTTAGAGAGGAATGGAGAGATAGAAACATCAATGATGAGAGAGAATCATTGATTGGCTGCCTCCTGCACGCCCCCTACTGGGGATCAAGCCCGCAACCCAGGCATGTGCCCTTGACCGGGAATCGAACCCAGGGCCCTTCAGTCCTCAGGCTGACGCTCTATCCACTGAGCCACACCGGCTAGGGCTCCCAGAGTTCTTTACGCTTCCGTGGAGCCCAGACAACCAGTTGTGGCATTATAGGAGCAGCAGTGGGTGGAGGAGGAGGTTTGGGGATGGTGAAGGGATTCTTCCAGGTACCCTAACGTCACCCACTTAACCACATCTGATAAGTGCCGGGTGATGGGCGTGGGTGTCTCCACAGTCTGGCGTCACCCAGCGGGACCTGAACGTGAAGGAGGCCTGGGCCCAGGGCTACACGGGCCGCGGCATTGTGGTCTCCATCCTGGACGACGGCATCGAGAAGAACCACCCGGACTTGGCGGGCAATTATGTGAGCAGGTGGGGGGTGGGGGCGCGGTGCTCCCCGTGAGGGTGTCCAGGGCAGCCCTGTTCTGCCAGCCTGGCTGGGCTACTCCCGACAACGGCCGTGTCTTTCCCAGGATCCGGGGGCCAGTTTCGATGTCAACGACCAGGACCCTGACCCACAGCCTCGGTACACACAGATGAATGACAACAGGTCAGAAAACACAGTCCCGGGCCTCTGCCTCCCTCCTCCTCTTCCGGCGAGGAAGCAGGCCTGCAGTCCCGGGCCTGCTGGGGCTCTGAGGGAGGGTTTGGTCAGGCGGAGGCGGCCACGGACCAGGTGGCGGGTGTGACAGGGGACTGTGCTCACACGTGGGACAGAGGTCATGGGTGGAGGCGCTTGGTGACCCTTCTGCTCCTCAGGCTGCGCCTGCCGGGCTCTGTCCACCACTAACGCTACGTCTTGGCCCTGACAGGCATGGTACACGGTGTGCGGGCGAAGTGGCCGCGGTGGCCAACAACGGCGTCTGTGGCGTGGGGGTGGCCTACAACGCCCGCATCGGAGGTGGGTGCCGGCCTGGGCCGCCCACCGGCTTTGGGAGGGCGCTCTGGGTGGGGTTTTTCTCTGTCCATTTTCCCACTTGGGTCCTTTTGGCCACATGGCTAATCCTTAGATGGCTCTTAGCAACTCAAAGAGCCAAACCCCCAGTGCTGGTGGCCCTGTGCTGGGGTGGGTGAGTGTCTCTGAGCAGGAGTCTCCCTGCATCCTCACCATCCATTCCGAGTCCTTACATGCGGGTTTTGATCACCGCGCTCCTGTGGGAACCCAGAGACGTGGCTGATCCAGAACGTTCTTTTTCTCCCCTCCCTGGGTCTTGTCTTTGAGAGGAAGAGGCAGGTCCGGGAGTCAGGGCCCCGGGTCTCCCTGCGCAGCCTCTCCCCTCCCTCCCCTCCCCATCCTCCGGGCGCAGGGCCGGGCGTGCTCCAGGGTGCCTCCGGCAGCGGGACCCATGCAGCATCCCTCCCCCCTTGTGGCCAGGGGTGCGCATGCTGGATGGTGAGGTGACAGACGCCGTAGAGGCACGCTCGCTGGGCCTGAACCCCAACCACATCCACATCTACAGCGCCAGCTGGGGCCCCGAGGACGATGGCAAGACTGTGGACGGCCCAGCTCCACTCACCCGGCAGGCCTTTGAAAACGGCCAGCCAGGTGAGGCGGGGCCCGGCCCGGCCTCTGTGGCAGGCTGGGCGCTCTGCTTTCCGCAGCCTCCTCCCTTGTGTTCTTCTGTTTCTGCTTATTTATTCTGGGGCTCGATTTTAATTGTACACAAAGCATGTCTATTAAAATGTTAGGGGACTAGAAGGACAGAAAAAGAGAAAAAGCAAATGAAAATCACCCGTCACTCCACCTCCTGGAATCACCACTCTGAGCCTTTGGTGGTCCAGGTGTTCTGTTCGTTTGTGCACAGACAGACATACTGGCGTGTATACCTCACCCACCAGGGGGCCTGGGCCGGTGGGCCGGGGTCCCTGAGAACGAGGCCCCAGCCTTCCCCGTCTCCAGCGGCGTCTCTTCCTGCCAAGCCTGCCCCAAGGCCCGTTCCCCAGTGACCCCGTTCCACTCTGTCCACAGGGCCGCGGGGGGCTGGGCTCCATCTTCGTCTGGGCCTCGGGGAACGGGGGCCGGGAACACGACAGCTGCAACTGCGACGGCTACACCAACAGCATCTACACGCTGTCCATCAGCAGCGCCACGCAGCTGGGCAACGTGCCCTGGTACAGCGAGGCCTGCTCCTCCACGCTGGCCACCACCTACAGCAGCGGCAACCAGAACGAGAAGCAGATCGTGAGTCGCCCGTGGGCGCGGGGAAGCGGGCTGCTCGCCAGCTCTGCCCAGACCCATCTGCCTCCCACCCGCACGCGGCTGGTGACACAGTGGCTCCTGCATCGTGGTGTGGGAGTTGGGGGGCTCTCTGAGACTCTTGGGGGCCGTGGAGCCCCTGAGAAGTGTAGACTCTCCCTAAAAACAATCGTTCTTTTTTTTTAATACATTTTTTTATTGATTTTAGCGAGGAAGGGAAAGGGAGAGGGAGGGAGAAACATCAGTGATGAGAGAGAGAAAACAATCTTTCTTTTTTTTTTAATACATTTTTTTTTTATTTTAGCGAGGAAGGGAAAGGGAGAGAGAGGGAGAAACATCAGTGATGAGAGAGAATCATTGATCGGCTGCCTCCTGCACGCCCCCTACTGGAGATTGAGGCCGCAGCCCGGGCCTGTGCCCTTGATCGGAATCGAACCCAGGACCCTTCAGTCCTGAGGCCGACGCTCTATCCACTGAGCCAAACCGGCCAGGGCCAATCGTTGCTCTTAATGATCTCCAACCTCTAGTGCAATCCCCTTGTTCCTTGGGAGGGTGGGAAAGAGTCTGACACTCGCCTGTCCCTAGCAAGGCAGCACTGGGACCTACGGACTAGGCCTGGCTCGCCACACCCCCCGTGGGCGCAGGGCCTGTAGCAGAGGCAGGGCAGGC